GAGAATGAGAGGCTGAAAAGTTCCCGTTATGGCTGGACCGAGCGAACAAAAGAACGATGATGAATCGTGGTTTGATGACAGCAAGAAACTACTAACGCAGCAGGGTTGCAACTACCCGGTAGGTTCTCTTACCTTGGTTCACCCGACGGATGGCCGCCATTGCTACTAGCTACAGAAAAGGGGATGAAGTTAAGATTCTTCTAGAAGAGTTTAAAAATTTCGAGGCTATAACTCTAGAAAAGCATACCGCGCTCAAATGCACCAGTAAAATTTACAAGTCATATTTTACATTTTTAATCCAAAAATTGCTCGTGCCAAACATTTTTCAAATTGCGAAATGTCAAAAAGGAAATGCGCTAATGAATCATTTGGATAGCTAAAATATATGTAAAGTTTTAATATCATTAATAATAAAGGGTGCAAAATAATTCATTCAACAGAGGCCGCGTCTAGTTACATTCGGGTTACCAGTATGTCTGTCTCTCTCGTATCCATATAAAATCACGTGAGTTCGTCTCTCTTGCACTCGCAGAAGGCATAGCTAATTCGAAAATGTCCGATTTTACACTTTCTGTGAATGAGAGTATTTTGATACGCTTCTCCCAATGGTTGTTGGCGCGTGACGTATCGAAGGGCATAGGAATACGTTACATTCTTTTGACTCTACAGTGCATAATCAACTTTCACATGACAGCTGTCAAACCGCACGGGCACAATTGAACTTTACAACCCTGTATATGCCTAGGTACGTTATTAGCCGTCCAAAGAGAATTGCTTGCGTTCCAAGTGGAACGGTTTGAAAGTCGAAGTAAATCCTGTAGAGTATTTGTCGAGGTATACAAGTAAAAGGGCACACCCCGTATATACGTATATGCGGTCTATTCGATGATAAATTCATTTATCCATCCCCTTGAGCGTCGGCTCGCTCTCACTTTTACTCGACGCCAACGCAAAGAGAGAAACGTTTCCATTTAACCGAAGCTTTTCAATTATAAAGTATTTCCCTCCAGTCCTCGGTTAAAGCGGCCGCCCTTGATTTTCCTACCCCTTTACCCAAGAGCTGCTACCACCACCTTTACCAATGCCAACCGCCAACCACCAACCACCATTACCACCTTTCGTCTCTGCCTTCAACTCCATTTTCAAGTGGCGCTGTGAGGAGTGTCTAGGACGACGGTGAAGTCACTGCAGTGTTCTCACTTCCTGGTAAAAGCGTGCGCAAATCCCAGCCCAGTGACGCCTCCGCGACGTCGGAAAATCCTGGAATTTCAAATCGATTGGGAACTTCCTGAGAGACTGGATATTCAACTAACCACTTGTCGTTCCAAGGAAACCGACGGAACAGAACCAAACTGGACGCCCCGGAGTCTCCTCCGGGATCTTGCAGACGTTGAAAATTTCAACCCCTAATATATATATATATGTACTACGGATGCCAGTATATACGATCGCATCCACTACGTGTCTATCGTTCTTTGGTCTTCTAGGGGATGGTTTCACTGTAGCTACCTATAGAGAAGAGGGCCCGTCCTGAAAGTGGCTCGCGATCAATGCGAGAGCGAGCAACCCCTTTCGTTGCGACGCGCTCTACCTACCCTCTTGCACTCCCTTTACTTATACTGGTTTACTTATCTATTTTTCTGGGGGGTTCCTGTCTGTCTTCACGGAGACATAGGAAACTTCTTTACTATCCTACCTGCCTCTCGCTTTGGACTTTCTTCACTTTTCTGCTATCATTCCTTACGGTACTCCCTCGTACGAGACGCTCCCTATACAACCAAGCAGGGACTGAGACAGTGTGTAAAAAGATGGCAGAAGGGTAGGTACTCCTACTGAGAGACTGACTCCTGCTAAGGACGTATAAGGTATCAACCACACTCTTCATCGAGTTCCCGTGAGACGCCTGGCCGCTAGTAGCTGTGTCTGATATCCTGTCCCGCGAAATCAGGAAGCAAACCTATTTACAAGGTGACTCGAGCGAGGACGAACATTTTAAGAATCCACGAGCCTCTATCACCACTCTTAATTCCAGAGATTCCCAGCGGGCCGCTTCGCACCAGGCTTCTTCTAAAATATTTCCTGAAATCAAGGATGCGCCAGTTTCATGACAGTACCGGAAGTTTGTTAAAAATCAAGAAACAGACATAAAACCAAAAATATAATCTCACCTAGTGCGGACAATGGTCGCTCTTTTCGTCTCTGATCCACAAGAGTGCAGACCGTTTGTGTTGGTCCACTCGGTGATAAACGAAATTACATCAGAAACGGTTCACCCAATCATCCCATCATCCCTTACTATAGATACTTCACCCTGAAGCACCCATTTTCAACCTTCCGCACAGGATCCCATCTAGATACCACTTCGTTCCACGTCCAATTGCCGATCTTGTTATTTTTCCCAGAAATGAAGCGCAAGATCCCTGTGGAAAATTGTACCGATAAATGTTCCAGGAAACGTTGCGTGGCCATCTTGGTACGATTAAGAACACCGCTCTCGACCGGAAGGCATAAGGACGCGTGGTTATATCGAAGAAAGTTGCAATTTTGCAAATTCTTACCAACCCCCAGGGTACCAGCGTCAGACGTCGATACTCTCAAGAGCCAAGGCGGACGGTATCCACAAAGTAGGGTAAGTACGTCGTCATATGAGGCTGAGCTGTGGTAAGCTGAGGTAAGTAATCCAGCAAAGAAAACGTCTTTGGTCTCTCGTTGAAGCTTCCAGACTTTGCCGTGTGTCGCTGCCGTCGTTTCTACTGCAGCATATAGTCCTCCAATAACGACAAGATAAAGGGACACGTTATCCATATATTAACCCGAAGAAAGAATCTGAAAGACGAAGAGAATCATTCTTATAGCTGGACCCACAAGTGTAGCATTAAAAGAAGAACAGGAGGAGGAAGAAGAAAAAGCCCCAGAGCTACGTAAGGGATAAAGGCTGCTTCGGTGTCCCAGGCTATGATTGTCCAAACGCAATTCTTGTCTGAACGATACAAAATCAAGAATTGTGTAGGGACATCAGCGCTTGGGGCGGGAATCAACGAAATCCGGTGATCCTGCAATCTTCGTGAAGGGAAATGAAATATGACAAAAAACACGAGAGGCGTGGACAATAGAGAAATAAGAATGGATCTGTATTAGAATCGTAACTTGTAAATATAAAGGAAATCTTGTGCAGTTTGTGATTTCCTACGAGACTCTTTACTATCCGTAGCCATGATTATCATCGTATACATATATATATAACAGTAGATGGAGAGATTCTCAGTATATCCTAAGCAATAAAAGAAACTATCTTTATTCCAGGAATACAAAACTGCATCAAAATATTCTCATGAATTTTCTTTCATAGGAATACCTATGCATCCCCAGCTATACTGGTAATGTCTGCATCACATGCATACCTACTTACACGTACATCACCGTAGGAGTACGTACTACGAAAAATAAGCGAGGAAACAGGAAAAAGGAGGAAAGATAAAAAAAGCGAATGGAGAAAGAAAACGTTAAAAAAAATTGTAAAGAACAAACGGCGTGGTCAGCAGGATCTTTCTGCCTTGAACGGAATCAGAAGCCATTCTTCCCATGTCCGCTCTCTCAATCCCCGTCGATACAGCTCCACCCCACCCTGCCTCCGGTGGACCGATAAAACGAAAGAAAAGCAGAAGAACGAATGAACTCGGTTAGAGAGAGAGGAAAAGAAAGGGAAGACACGAACCGCTGAAAAATGACCGTCCGGACATTACCGGATTTCAATATCCTGGAATAGTGAGGTTAGGTACAAGACACGGGATAATATCGGTGCATTAGGTAAATACTAAGAGCAGAAGGGGTAGACGAAGTGGTGAAACTCGAAGGAAAGATGGCCGGTAGAAGGTAGACATTTTTCGTTAGCGTGAATAGAGGTAAGGATATTTGAATAAATAAAAAAAGAAGGGAAAAAATGGATACAGGCATAGAGCATGTGTTAGGGGAATAAAATGAAGTAAGACTAGCGAAAGTAGCAGGAGGGTTAAGATGGAGGTTGCATTAGCAAGCCGAAGGGTGGATATGGATACGTATGTGCTTATAGGTACAATAGGTACGTGTGTACGTGGCATAGATACACCGGATACATTATGCATCCCGGATTTTATACGATATAATGTACTTGTTAGCTGCTACCTATGCATGTACGCAGGAGCGAGCTCCGGGTGAAGTGTCCCGAGAAAAATTGCTCGCCCAAGGGGCTCGTAGGAGGTCGGGCTTAGGGTGTTATAGGTAGAAGAAGGATCGCAACAGGAGAGTGAGTCGTCTAGAGAAGAGGAAAGAGGAGGTTACGGATTTTGAGGGATCTTACTTGGTGCGCCAGGAGACTTCGGGTCGCGTATCGTGATCCGTTACGTGACCCGAAAAGATCGACCTCAAAGTTTCCACGATTATGGCTTCTGGTATTTTTCCTAGTAGCGTCCTGAGATGGTATTTGGATTCGTATTTATTTTAACCTACCAGTTGCATCCTATGAAAATAGGCATTTCAAGTGCATGCCGTATCTGGATCATGTGTTTTATATATTTCAATTGTATTTCTGTACCAAATTATTCTTGATGGAATTATGAGAAGAGATTGAGTGATAGGTACCAGGCACCATTGCCGTGGTTTATTGAATACTCGAGTAATTTATAAATTTAAGTGATTGTAAAAGTTAACGAAAATTTCAACTAACGAAATTAGTCACTCAATACCAGTCCGCAATTAGATTCCACTAACCGAGTTAAACGTCAGACAATTAGCCCCAACGATAGTCTGTACCACTTCAGGTGGAGCCGCCTGTTTTCCACGTACAATTATAATCCCCTGGCACGTTTTCTTTTTGTCGTTATTTCAGGTTACCCGAAATTTTTAATGCTGACATCAAAAGAAATACAGCAAAGACTCTCATAGCTTTTTAATACGAAAACATGTTAGCTAAGCGAAATACAAAATGTACTCAGAACGGCCCTGGCGGTTTCCCTTGTCCCGAACCCGTGATCAGTGAGAATGTTCAGGTGTCCCAATCCCCGGTCTTTCGTAAGTCAAGACAATGTAAGCTGTGAGGGCTCCATTGTGATCTTGAACAGGGACTGAGCTAAAAATAGATAATTTAATAAATTCGTTACTTCAGGTACGTACGTGCTACACTATTTTCTCTTTTGTTGGTACTTCGAGAGAATACATAAGTAAGGATATATAAGTAGCATTAGAAGCAGAAAGGGATGTTAGAAACATGGAGGAAAAGAAGGTTAGCATTAAAAATCAGGGTTCAAACGAATCGTGATATTGGGAAAAGTGCAGAGTTTTCTGCTGAGCAAGAAGAGGAGGTCTGGAAGAAGAGGATGAGGCTCGATTCCAGGCACTTAGAGGTCTGCTCGTCAGACACGATGATGATGTATGGCTCTCAGCGATGGAGGGCGCTGTAGCGCTTCTAGCAGGCGCCGAGTAAACTGGTCTTACCCTGAGGTTATCTCCGTCCTGGTCTTTCCCTTTCTCGAACTCGCTTCATCATCTCTCTCTAATTCCTCGACGTACCGATATTTGTTCTCCGTCAGTGAACCGGCAGACACTTTTTGCTTCAATTCCTGGGCATACATCTTTCTGAAAGATAAGACCAATATTCGTTACAATAAACAGCTCTCGGTACAACCTCACTTCGGGTATATAATCTCGCGCTACTTTCCTATCGGGAATAGTTACTGATGATGAATGAAGGTTTATGAATTTTTTAAATTTTCAAAGAAAAATACGTAAACGATCATAAGAGTAGAAAATAAGGATCAAATAGCACGAGAACGACGTAAGAATATTACGTAGAGGATATCCTTCCTGCGAGGAAGGATGATAAGGTAAGCCATGTCTACGCCATAGTATAATAATACTTTGCCCTTGTTCTAATATAGATCCAAGTGAAGGTCCGAGCAATATGCGAGATATTGTGGACACTGGTCCCACGTTCCCTTATATATAGCCGTGCTGAAAGTCATAGGTACGGTACCTTGGCATCCTGGTGTTTGTCTAAGGATATAAGAGGAAGAAGGACTCGTGTATACTTTTCTCTCATTTTTTTTCTCTCTCTCTCTCTCTCCCACTACTTAATCCTATCCTACACTGTACGTCACTTGGCGAGTCAAGGCTAACCCTCAGAACAGCTTTCCCTTGCAAGGAAGAATACCTATTTCATATCTGAAGCGCAAGGAAGCACATATGCGGAGAATGGGAGTCAGGGTGTCCTGGCGTTACGTGTGCAGAGAGCGAAATAAGCGTATAATACTGAGAAGGGCTTTCCTGCGATTGTCCGAAAATGGCAGCGACATCAGAGCCAATGGCGGAGGCGCAAACTGCCCGAATATTGGCAGCGTGCCAGATGAATCGTCGAGGATTTCCAAAGGGGATCAGTAGATGAACGAGAGAGCCTCAAGAAGCAGATTCAATTAAAGAATCCTACTTTACCTGCCAAATAATAATATATATATAGATACTTATATATACAAGTCTTCTACCAAATATAAAGAGTTAAAAGAATATGTTGCACCTTCTTTTACCTAGTGTTTGTCTATATCCTTATTCACTCCTGGCTTGTAACGCTTTGTAACCCCGAATACCTACGCCCTTTCGACGCATCTACGACTATGCGCACTGGGCGATTTCCGTTTCCGACTGGCCGCATTACATGCGCTCGATGAATGCCGGATGATAGGACAGGGCTCAGTCGGGTTAGCTGGAACAGAATGGAATAGGATAAGCTCGAGTGAGGAGAATGCGATTGGCCCGTGATATTCCACCTGCTTATCTGTGCGGTATACGAAATATCAATATAGCTATTCACTTATGTACTCAATACACAAGTACATAGACGGACGAAGAAGACTGGTCACAATTACATACGTACAAAGTAATTCCCAAACATCGTGCAGCCGCAAGCATTGAAACAAGCTAGGTTTCTGATTTGCCAATGATCCTCATACGTGTCCCACTGGAGTTCTATGGGAGAATCTCGTCCATAGACACTGGTGCCGTATTAGAGGAGCATTCACGAAGCGCCATTTCAGTCGGAAGTTTTCTGCTGGGTGGCCAGGTGTTGAGACACGGACTGTAAGCGATATAGATTGTCAAAGTTCGGCGAAACTGTTAGCCACAGGAACGGAGTTTCCGAGGGTAACTTTCATCCCTCTCGTACTCACCAGCACCATCCCCATTGCTACCACATTGACAGTGGCCCTATCCACTGCTACCACCACCACCGTGGAATGTGGCGCAGCCCTTTTCCTGATGGAAGTTATCGGTGCCAGGTTTCTCCATCCGACGTCGCTACTCAAGTCCAATAGAAGATCCTGTTCCCATGTATAGGTTAAAGTGTCCCGCGCAGCATCGCTCCGATGGAAACAGCCCTAACGGGCGAGTATGCTTTATTTTAACGACCTCATAGACGTTGAAGCGATTTATCAATTCATCTCGCAAGGCTAACGCGATTCCCCGTGGGATAAAGGTCAACGACGTGACGTCGCGTCGTCTAGTGTCCCTCGAGAGGAACGGAAACGGATATTCGTATCGCATAGTTTACAGAACGATAAAAATCCACGTAAAACGACCGTAAAGTTATCCCCGCAGGAGTTATGGCTCTATATACGGGTTATCGGAGGATAGACACAGGTGCGGACGGATCGTAATGCCATTTTGCAATGCCACGCTGCGAGGGACAGAACTGACTCAGCCGCCTAGCGGCTGATATGCGAAACAACCGTGTAAGCCTGTGGCGTAAGAGCGCGATTCTTGAGGGCGCCATTCTTTTTCGGCCAACTAAGATCGAGGATGCGAGGAGAGGATCGTGCAAATACATAAAGGGAGAAAATATTGTGCGTAGGCGGGAGGCGAGGACGATTGCGAGGATCAGAGGGAGAAAAAGAAGAAGAAGAAGAGTGGATTGAGAAAAAGAGCCTGGATACTTTTGGAACGAGGAGAGGCTGGAGGGTCCATCTTTATTCTTTATTAGATTCCACCCTTTTTTTCCTGCTCCTCTATCCCTCGGGCTAGGAGGGCTCTGCGAGGGCGATAGAGGCTACATATAGAGAGAGCCGAAGATCGTGGAGACGAGGAGACGAGTAGAATGCTTCTGCATTTTTGTATAAGCGCGTTACGCCGCGAATGTGCCAGGGGTTTGGTCCATTTCTGGCAAATGGACATCCAGGATCTAATAAAGAAACTTGGGAACATCTAGCAGCCCTTGCTTCACCCTCGCCGTCTTTCGACCTTCCGAACCGCGTCTCGTGGTTCATGCTTCCTGCCACGGCACCCACTACCGAGGAAAAGACCCTGCAAGGGACACTTATATAACCGTAGAACTCAGTAGGGAATGTTAGATAGTGGAACGAAAGGGGTTTAGCGTCCTTCGGTATTAGATTTCAGCCTGTTGGCAAATGGAACGTTCAGTCGTTGAAATAAAAAAAAGAAAATACAAGAAAGAAAAAAAGCACGATGATTGCTAGAAAACTTCAGGAGGAATTATTTAAAGGTTCATTACTACCCGTTCGAGAGTTCACTTAGTTCATGAATGAGAAACAAAGGATTTTCCCTAAAGAAGCCAATGGAAAGCTGGCAAAGGTTCATAGTTTCACGAAAGTCGCGTGTCGCTTTCCAAGAGCAGGAGAGACGAAATAAGTTTGTGAATTCTGGAAGGATGAAAGTCTCGACGGAGCGTGGAGTAGATAACTGCCAGTGTAGGTTGGGCAAAGGAGTCTAGAGTAAGAAGACGTTGGAGATGAGGACGTGAGAAAAGAGAGGGAGGTTTGGAGGGGGATCAAAAGAAGGAGTTCTAGGTCCGTCCGATGACTGGCTGGTTTCTGAATCCTGGCTGCTTAGCTCACTGGCTTCCCTGCTAGCTATCCCGGCTCGTTGGCTGGCTGGCCGGTTTGGCTGGCTGGCAGACAAATTGTGAGAATTTCAATGCGGCACGGCGACATACGCCGAGCGAACAAATGAAGAAATAAAAGCAGCCCCGTTTCGCTCAGACACAGGGAATAACGTGAGCGCAACAGCGACAGGCTACTATATATGTATATATTCCTCCGAAGCGAGCGGACTCTGCTTATGGGAAATAAAAAATATTTCCCAGCAGAGTAGCATGGAGGCAGCAAACACGGATGGAAAATAGAGACGAATACCATACGCTTCCGGCGATATGACTGTAGGTATGTATGTTGTGCTGTAAAATGTCGAGGACGAGAGAGAAACTAGAAGGAAATCATAGAGGATTGGCAGAAAGCGAGAGAGCAGTGCGTTAGGTAGGAGCTTAATAAAGAGGGAAACAGGAGAAATCCGTAAGCGACTGTACGCAGGGTGAGAAGTCTGGCTAGGGTGGAAAGGTATAGGGAAAAAGTATAAGGCAGTGAAAAGGAAGAGTATAGGAAGTTGGGTTGGCAGTACTGGTGCCTACGTAGGAAGCTAGGGGTACCTACTGTATTTCCGGGAATAAGTTTCGTTCGAGTGGCGAATTCGTGCATGGTCGTCGAGGAGACGCGAATAAGAGCGGGATGGGATCATAGAGTGGAGTAAGGGACGCGGGAGCACAGGGCAGAAGGAGAAAGGAGTGGCTGGATAAGGTAAGAGAGTAGTAAGTATGGGTGCCGGGCGGTTGAACGAGGGAACGATGGTACGGGGTCGTGGATGCTGAGGGGTTACGAAGTTTTGCAGATATTGAATATCTCGGACCATCAATCATCCCGGCGCAGCAATATCCGAAAGTATTGCCTTATACTCGTAGGTATAGCAGGACCGATTTATAGGTAGAACCTGTCCTGTGCTCGGCACACGTTCTTCCTTTGATCCTGATCCGTCACCGATCCTCTTCATCCTGAACTCGGCTACGGAGCAAGGATCTTATTCCACCTTAACCAAAATATCTCACAAAACACGCCTACCATCTCCGTGGTGCTCGGAGTACGTTTTTTTCTCTCTTGTTTTTCTTCTTCTTTCTTCTACCTTTTCTCCTATCCTTCATTCCTCCCGGGTCGACACCGGGGTAACGAGTGCCTGGCAGAGAGATTCAGCAATTGTTTTTTCAAGCAAAACTAGCAGGATCCCCTCTGGAGCTATTAGGCTCGACGAGGGTTCTGAGTTCTTCACACTTCGCCAGAGTGGGAAAACGCACGAGAGGGATAAACGGGAGAGAGAGCAGAGAAGTGTAAAAGGCGTGTAGAAGGATGGGAGTGCCAAGTGAGATGACGAGGAGGAAGCAACGTCCAAAGAGGGAAGAAGGATCCCCTTATGATGATTACGATAGGCTTTCCATCCCATCCCAGCATCCCAGTTTCTCGAGTATCATCATCTCTAGAGTCTTCTAGCTACGAACTGCGGGTTCACGGCTTTACAGACCAACCCTATAACACCGTTATCTCCTCAACACCCCAACCTGAGCGAAGTTGACACCCTTATATTTTTAAGCGGTATTCGTCAAAGGCCCGGTGAGTGAGAGTTTACTACTTGGACGGAACGGCTATAGTCCTTTTACTTTCCTAGGAAACAGACCACCCCGAAAAGCACTGGTCAACTCCTGGTGCCTGACCACTCCTTGGGGAGCTTTCGGAAGTAATTTCCCGGCTCCCAAAATTACTCCGGAGCATCCCACCAAGTATATTATACTAGAGGCGGTCGAGCTTACCTTTTCCCTGCACCCCATCAAACCCATTTTCCTCTTTGACTTTGGTCAACCTTTATGGAGTGTACCCTCTATTACGACATTAACGCAGCGTCTCGTAGATAAGGCAGTAACGGTGAACAGTTCCGGCTTGATATCGGGTGTCCGCGTTCAGATCTGAAACAATATTGATTCTTCTGATGAAGGAATTAATTAATTTTCTAAAACTTGGTAATTTCAAGGGAAGCCAAAGTACAGAGTATTGGTTAAGTTAGTTTCCAGGGGTGGGTTGTTAGGATGGTATTAGACCGGGTTAACCCCGGGGATAAGCGGTAGAAACGCCAATGAAAGGGAGAGGCCGAAAGTAAGAGCGACTCTGCGCCAATGCGGCCGGATGAAGTCGTTAACTCGAGTATGTACCCACTCGCTGCGGAATTGGAAGGGCCAGGCATCAAAATGAAAATTAAACTGATAGCACCTATGCATCTAGAGTCTTTGGCGGCAGTAAGTTGGTATCTATATCTCATATTTAGTTCACAAATTTACTATCTCTTCATTCCACAGCTATTTGTGGGACTGATAGAACCTGGATCCGATAACGAAACAATAACCAGTACCTCTTCATTGAGCACTCCAGTGGTTAATCACAACTGTTAACCAAAATCTTACAAGTTAGGTTAGTCAGTTGATTCCTGGAGGAAGGAGGCTTCTGGAATTGTACAAGATAGACCATCTTGTCTCCGGTCATCGTGGTAAACCGAGTATATCGATCCTTACGGTAAAGGAGGGACCGGATCACGAACCGATAGGATCAATGATCTATCCAGGGGCTTTTGGCAAACGTTGGTAACCGTTAACGTACCTAACCTAACTTCGATAGCTATATTGATAGCCACGGACGATGGAGTCACGTGGCTGGGCTCGATGGCTGCTCTATGCTGGATGATGACTGGCTGGCTGGCTAGCAAGCAAGTAGGTAGAATGGCG